TATCCCCCCCCCCCCCCCCAAGCACATTGCCTTCACTGCACCCCTGGTGCACCGGTACTGTTCACTCAAAGTCTTAAACCCATCATTTGTTCCAAAATAAAAGGCATATTGTCATTGTACATTTATCATATTTCAAGTTGTGTACCATACATTTAATTTGTCTTTTAGCATTTTACTCAAGAAGATTATGACGCCTTGATATTGGGATGGGAGAAAAAAATTAAACGTTGTTCAGTTGGGTATCAAAAATGGGGCTTGTTCTATGCCAAGAAAGCAACTTAATTATTAAAGATTGATATACTGTATTTGTAGCATAGATTATATTATTAATTTATATCTTAATGAGTATTTTAATTTGGTAAAAGCAGATTTTATTAATTCAAATAAATATACTATTGCAAGTGGAATCGATTTTCATAATTCATGATGCAAACGCAAAGGAAATCGTACCCATGTTGTTTTTCTGATAAAAAACCCAGATATTATTCATATCAGTTAGGATTATTGAAGAATTTGACTATTTTTACCAAGACAGGTTCGCTAGCTATATAACTGTACAATATCAATTTTGGAAAGTTGCATACAATCACACAATTGCAAATTTTTAATTTTTTTCCATATATATATAATAACTTATTTACATTAAAAATTACAAGCGACATGGTATATTATACCTTCTGATCTTCTGCAGTACTGTTTCCACAGTAATGCTAAATAAATTTTCTAAGGCCTAAGTTACCTAAACGTATCAGAATCAAGCGCAGAAGTCCTGTCAGACCAAGGTATGTAAGGAGATCTTAGCTTGGTATTATTCACTGGTTGCAATTGATTTACTAATTGGCCTTCATTGGGTACAAAAATGTTATTGTTTTAATAAATTTAATTTCAATCAATATAGTGAATAATTAAAACCATAATGATCAAATATTGTACTAGCCACTAGGTACCCAAACCTGTTGCAAAACAGTCTTCAATTACTAGTGAGGATATATAATTTATGTCTAATTCAGTAATGCACAACAAATATTAAACATTGATAACAATTAACTGTTCCACTGCTGTAATACTGATTTCACAGCAAGAAAACTATAACGAACATTCCACGATGTCTCTTTGCTAAAGCAAGGCACACATGTTTACTGCTGTAGCCACTATCAGTCATTTCCAGGTGCAGAGTGGCCCACCAAAAGTAAACAACAAACACACAAAATTAGACCAAATTATTTGTCCAAATTACTGTGATCAAAGGTGACAGACATGAAACAATTAATTTTCCATTTCTTCATGATCGACGTCGTGGTCTGAGCAATCCTCGTCTAAGACATCCTGATCTGGGACATCTTTGTCAAACAAATCCTCATCACTTTCGCTCGCAATTCTAAATGCCGTATCTCCTTCTAAGTTTTCTATCGAACCACTTGCTCCCATGGCAATTAGCGTTGCAACAATGGTATCGAGTCCCAAACCTGCTGCAATATGCAAAGGGGTGTTACTAGAATACGACATTGCATTAGGGTCGGCATTGCCTTTGAACAGTAAACAGGACACCATTACAAGGTTATTGTCTTCGACAGCCAGATGTAGAGCAGTGTTTCCGCTTTTGCTGTCCTGTAAAAAAAGTTAATGTGGATTAGCAATGGCATAAACATTCAAAATTTATTGGGTATAAATAAAGTTTGTTTTATGTCGTGACATTGGGCCAATAAAGGGATAATGTTTTAAATACCAGAGCTCTGGGGAAATAACAGACAAAGAAATGAGTCATCCAAAAAAAATTAGTTTACAAACTAACTTACAGCAGCATTCGCATCAGCACCAAGTGTAATTAATTCTTTCACAATTTCAATATGCCTTGCTTTCACAGCAACGCAGAGAGGTGTCAGACCTAGAATGTAAAAAAATATTATAATTTACTGTTTGCATTTAAGGATGTAAGTTGCAGAGCTAATCTATAACCTTCAAAGTTTCATGTGAAACAGAAAAGCGAAATCTTACCATCAAAATTTCTCGTCTCCAAAATTTCCTGCAATTTTTCATGTAGTTCTCGTCTTCCTGGCCTTGGTTTGAAAATTTCTCCAAGGGTCTTGAGGTCTCCTCTTTGACATGCAAGATGTATGCACGTTTGTCCATTTCTGTCGACCAAATCAATGCTAGCTCCTCGGTCGATAAGCTTTCCTACAATTTTATGCTGTCTTGTTATTGCTGCCAAATGCAGCGGGGTTTGAGTGATATCGTTATAAACATCAAAGTATTCGGGTCTTGGAAGTACGTCTATAATCTGATGGATGGTTTCTTCATTGCAGTTAATGATTGCCAAATGTAAAGACCTAGAATAAAAATGGTAAAAAATAGTTGAGATTATTTTATGTCTTATACGTTTCCATGGCAATAAATACGACATTTTTGGAAACATTTTGCAGAAAATATTGATTTTGTGTATGTACCGTATGAAATAGATTCTATTTTGATTAATTCTAAGACATCACAAGACAAAAACACTTATGAGCTGATGCCGTCACGAGCCGGATGATAACGAGCATGAGTTTCAGATATGAAGGAAGTAGATATTTATTGTTCAATGATTCAAAGGATTGGCTCATTAATTTCTTGGAATGTTGTTCCGATTCCTTCCAAGTTTTTAAAAATCAGCTTTTAAAACTCAAAATCGTCTTAATAACTATTGAAAAGGAATATTAAATGTATATACATAAAAATAGTTGAATAAATATCGCACTATCACATGATAAAAATTTTTTACCGAACATTCAAAGACGCAAGACCCCCAGCAAAGAAAGGGACATTCCCTCTGCATTTTCCTTTCACTTTTATATTTGTCGAGTCATTTTATTGCTACGTTACAATATTTTTTGCCCTAATTCGCCCTAAAACATGTCTGTTCTTTAGATTATTTAATATCCAAAGTATTTATGGTCTTAAACTTCATTTAAAACGTCTAAATTTAAAAATACGTACGTGTCTCCTTCATCGTTGCAATGTAACAACGTAGGCCAAAATGGCGCCAGCACGTATCTGAAATCTTGCGTTTGAGCAAAACATCGCATGCAATCGTAAACCGAAACATATTGGTGCTGGAAAGGATGGTCCATAGCTTGTTCTTTGTTAGTTGAGGGTAAACTAGGTAATTCTACGCTCCTTTCAGGGGAAATAGAGGTATATCCATCGTCAATAGATTTACATATTTCGGGATCATTAATTTGAAGGTTTTGGGTTTGTTGTAGTATGCAGTCCGTAGAATCGACGCACTTCTGATCACGCGATTCGTCATCAATGGAATAACTGTTCGTATCGCTTCTATCCGATGGTATACTGTGTAAGCTGTCGCCGATACCAGAATCAACTTGATAAGAGGAATCCACATCGTCAAAATTTGAGACTTTGAAAGTACGTGGTTTCACTTCTTTGCCTTGCGATATTTCCCGTCTATTTCCACTGCTTGCCATTGTTAAATTGGACCAGAATTTACTAGACTATTATAGGGAATATATAAAGTTACGAAAAACAGCTGTAACGTAGACAAAACTGAGAGTAAACGGCACACAAAAGGGTCGAACTTATATATTTCAATATTTGTCAAAGGGAATTCCCAAATCGTGTTGATGAGAAAAAAGCCCCGTAATTAAAGATGCAACTCATTAGCCAATCAGAGCGCACGAAATAGGGAATCCCAGAGGGGTTTCCCAGTCACATGACATACTGTGGTGCAGTAAGTCACTGTTGTCTAATCATTTTACAATTTGCTATTTCACAGTATTGTCTTAATTTCACCGAGGTTTTTGCATAATAATACCCTTATCCGAATACCTAAATTTAAATTTCGCTTACATAGCTTATGAATGAATATATTGTTTGCACCCGCAAAAAAAATTGCTGAGGGCAGCGCTCTTATGTTACATCACCCATTCCCCTTAATGAGCCCCCGATGACGCGGCAATTGTTTACGTGTTTACGATCATTACTATTTCTAAGGGAAAGTATTTTCCCTGAAAAACTAACTTTGCAAAAAACACCATCAAGCTTTCGATGTATACAAGCTTAAAATTCGTCTATGCAGTCTATGCAAATAGTATCTTATGGAATTATAAGAAAGGTTGCGGCGTTTTCCACAAAACTAATTAACTTAACAAGTATATTTATATGGCCTTATATGTCACCATGCAAAAACTACAACATATTTTTTTATTTTTATGTATTTTAAATTTTGCTTGCATCAGTCACTCACACAAGGTATTTACACAATTACCAAATGCGTGGTGCAACTCGTGCTAAAATTTGCTGTGCCTTACATGTCATTCTAATCATGTGGCCGGTTTCACCACTTAGCACGCGATTCATGCAAGATTGATCAACCGTCAGAGTGAATACTGAATAATTTCAAAGTGTGGCAGGCTCTGCGATTCTGGTGCAGCGCTCTAACCAACCACAGTTAGTAGAAATAAGAATCATGAATAATAATAGTCAATATAATAGTTAATAGTTAATAGAAATTTCTATTAACTGTGAACCAACTGAGCTACAGAGGCCAGTTGTCGAGCTCTAACCTGCACTGAGTTCATGTATATATACTAGGGTACTGCCCATAGATATCTTATATACACTAGATAGTGCATCTAATTATTCTGCAATTCAAAAATGGAAGCCGTGATTGCAGTCTCAGGTCGTTCCCATGAAATGAGAAGATTCGTATGTTTTCTATTTTTTAAACACGGAACTTAAACATTAAGTTAACCCTATTCCAAATACATTTTTAAACTATTCAAATGATGAAAGTTATTGTTGTTTTTAAGCGTTTATTAGCAAGTGGGAACGACCAACATGGCCGCCAACTATTCAAATGGGGGTAACCGCAGGAATATTCTTGGCTTCAATTTTACTAAAAGAGATGCGCTATCTAGTCTATATAAGATATCTATGATCAATCTCAGACAATCTTCGTCTCAATCCCAGAGTATGCCTGTTCGCGGGTTAGGTAGTGGCATGACTCTGCGGAAATCGAATCGAAATAGTTATTTGATTGGCTGCCGTGATCATCAATGCTGCCGACACAATTAATGCGTGTTTTTTACGAGAATTACACGTGGACATACGCGAAGAGAGAATTATCAATGTTTATCAAATTTGGAATGCGAAATCAAACAATATAAATCGAAGGATATATTATATTAATCGTATGAAAAAGTATTGGGACGTTGGGTATATACTTACAAAATGGCATGGTATTTATGAATGACTTTTTATCGATCTACAGTATGAGTATATTTATTATAACCATGGAAGAATTGGCTAAATGAAATCATCGCACACGTCGTTGTTTTGTTAAATTGACATATTGTTGCCAGGACTTTGGAGTGACAGCTTTTGCTTGTGTTAAAAACTTGAAGCTTTAATACAGTACATTATGGTCAATACTCAGCATATTGTAGCCTGTGGTCATTGTGCTTTTGTAAATGGAGTTATCTATGTACTATTTAAAGCACGCGTAGGAGTGTTTTATCACATATAAAGCACGACGCGTAGCGGAGTGTTTTATATGTGATAAAGCACGACTACAAGTGCTTTAAATAGCTTAAAAAACGACTCATCTTATACGAGTTCATTGGCGAAGTAATTTTTAAAATAAACTTTGTCTAAACCGAGAAAATGAAAGCTAAAGGAGGGTCCTGAAGGGGGGGTCCCAATCCCATTTCCCACCTGAAATTTTGGCAAAATCCCAGTCTCAGTTGGATTTTTATTAGAAATCTCAGTCCGAGTTATTGAAATCCCAGTCAATAAAAAATCTTTATTTATCGGTACAATAAACAGTTTTAAGACTTTTAAGCCACCGTGTGTGCAAGTGGCGAACGCTTTATGAAATAGTGGGAGAGGTTCGTGCCGAAGGCACGGAAAATTTTTAAATTTGAATCCCGGAAATGGCATTTGCAGCATTCTGAGACACGCATAATCAGAAAACCCAGATTTTCGGGCGCCAGAGTATGCCTGTTCTCAGGTTATAGTGCTGTGAATAATATAGTTAACAACAAAAATCATGACCAAAGACACCAAAAACGAATCAAAATTGTATTTTAAAATACTTAAAACGTAGAAAAATTGGGAATCGGCTCGCATTACCTCAATCCCATTCCCATTTTTGAGGACTTCATTTCCCATTCCCAGTGGCCAAATCCCAGTCCCAGCAACCCAAATCCCATTTTCCCAGTCTAAAAATAGATCAATCCCAGTTCCCATTTTACCCCTTCAGGGCCCTCCTAAAGTTTATGTAAATTAACGTGATTTTTTATCACATTTAAGCCCATTTACCTAACGCGCATTGTTTTGCTGATGATACTCAACTGTATTTACCCTTTAAACCTGGAACTATGTTGGATGAAGCCAATGCTGTTCCAGCAATGGAAGCTTGTATTGCTGAGGTACATCAGCGGATGCTCTCTCAAAAACTTGACCCTGAGAAAACCGAGTTTATGATCATTGGCACACGGTAACAGTCCAGAACTTCGCATGCCGAATCATCAAAGTTTGATCATGTAACACCAGGTCTTCAAGAACTTAACTGGCTATCTATTGAAAACTTACTTATTTACAAAGACAGGATAATGGCTTATAAATGTCTGACCAACCTTGCGCCAAGTTACCTTGTAAATAAATTCACAAAGCGATCTGATATTCATAATTGCCAGACTAGATGTAACTACTGTTTAAATATTCCAAGCTATATTGCACTACTGCAGGGCAAAGAACAAAGAACAGTTTTTAATAATAATAATATCATCGTAACAGCTGGAAATGGTTAACATCGATTGTCTGCAAGTGGGAGACAGGCAAATTATGCCGCTATCTTCTGTAGCGAAAAACTTGGGATCTTGGTTTGATTCTGGCGAATGTTGTACACGGATTTCGGATCTTATTAATACAGCAGATTGCGGATTTATCTAATATTTTTGCTCGGATCGCGGAGTGTTTGGTGCATGCACTTATTTCAAGTAAGATTGATTACTGCAATGGATTGCTTTACGGCATTCCAGCCGTTCATATAACGAAACTTCAACGTGTTCAAAACAATGCTGCAAGATTGGTCACTGGTATTTCACGATTCAGTCACATTACACCTGTCTTGGACGCCTTGCATTGGTTGCCTGTTGCTTACAGGGTTCAGTTTGAAATTTTATTGTTAACTTTTAAATGCATGTATACATGGACTAGCCCCGAAATATTTAATGGATCTTATTATCATTAGAAGGCATACTAGGTACTGTTTACGATTATGTGGAAGTTTGGCACCATTGCCAGGAGAACGTATTTAAATCAGCTGCTCCAATACTTTGGAACGTTAATTATGCCAGCAAATATTCGTAATATGGACAATTAAAATCTATTTAAAAAGGCATTGAAAACCTATTTACTTAGAATGGCCTTCGAACATTGAAATACTTTTTATAAAGTGAAGTCTGATTTTAGATGTAAATAACTATAATATAGTAACCGTAATTTAAATTTTAGGTTTTTATGTAATATGAACATATCTGCATATGCGCAATATAAATTTAATTATGTTATGCATTTTCTGTAGTGTATACCATTCCACCGAGACATAAAGATATCTTTGGTACCTAAGAAGTTAGTTGAATTTCGGAGGATTCATAAAGTAACCATCAGCATTCTCGTCTATAGCTATACATTTATATCCTATCTAAAAACTTTTTCATGGATATTTTAGGCTTAAAAGCGTTTTCATATTTTAGCTATACCAAGCCCCCAGCCCCCCGGTTCGTACGGCATTGATAGATATCCGTATTTAACCAGTAACTTTTTAATATTCAATGAAAAAAAATAGGATGTTTTGAAATAAAGTTAAAAAAAAATTTAAAAAAATTAAAATAAATAAAATATAAAAAATATTTCATCAAAAAAATAGGAAGTTTTGAAATAAAAACCAAAAAGAAATTTTTCAGTAAGAAAATAAAAAAACAATTCAATAAAAATTTCAATTAATTTTCATTTTTATTTGCTATGAGAGCGCTGCAATATATTCAGTGTGGTGGGACCTCTCTTAGGCTAAATGATCGAAAAACCTACTTTGGCAGATGGACAACTCTTGTAACATTTTCTATAATTCGTGGCACAGTTAAGAGTTAATATATTAACCTATTTAAGACACAAATGCCCCAATGCATTCTGCATGGTGTGCGCACTTCTCCATTTTACACTGATTATTGCTATGTGATTTAGTCGTCAAGGGGAGTTCCCTTGCGATTTTACGTGTATAATAAGATACATTTTCTTGTCAAACAGGCGCCGAACCACACCCACTCAGCTGATGGTCACGATAAACTAATGGGATTTATGAACTCCACATTTCCATTGGCAATATATGGACTGCAGGATGCATTTAGTGGATACATCCTGTATGGCCAGGAAATTCTGACCCCAAACTTATTGTCCGCTGGTATATGGAGCATTTGTACAATGTAAAGAGTAAGAGAGTTTTTGTATGATATGCAAATTCCTGCATTGGCATAACTGTTATATTGTTCTGTGAGAGTGTGAATAAGCTTTTATAGTATAAATCAATACACTTCTTTCCATTTTGGTTTATGATAGTGATAAGCACACATCTCAGATTGGATAAAGGTACTGCATGAGACCAGAGACATGGCCACCATTCATACATATGTAAGGCAGACACAAGGTGATGCTGAAGAAACAGCTGACACAGTCCATTATGGTTCTTCTACCAACTACAAGGTATGCCACAAGCTTGATGCAAGCACGTATCTAACTAAAATTCCTGTTTTAATTTCATTTCCTAACAATTTATAACTGCTAGACTTTTACAATGTGATTTCTCTTTATAATTCAATTAGATTGAAGGGTGGTGGCGAGAGCTACACCAACGATTGGAAACTTTTTAAGAAACAGCTGATGATATTGTTAGAACAGGAATATTATGACCCTGATATAGAAAATGACAGGTAATGAAAATTCCCAGAAAAATTGGGCAAAAACCGCAAAACTATATGTTTAATTTGTCCTTCTCGATTGCCTTTATTTTATGCTGTATATACAGTGTGATTCTATTTTTAGCTTTTATGAGACTTATTTCAAATTGTCTAAATTCAATTACTTAATTGCCAACAAATTGTCTTTACCTATTTCAACAGACAACTGTTGGCATTTGTATACATTCATGTCATTTAAAAAGAATTGGAAATTTTCCGGGAAACTATATGGAATTCGCATCGAGTGAGGGCAAGAAAAGATGCGCAGGTGCCAAAAGGGACCCCCAGCCATCTTTATGCTTTCCTGAACAATATGGTGCAGAAGAATGTGGTATGTACACTGGAGAATTGATTACCAAATACATAGACAGATTTTCAGAAAATTTGCGGGAGTGAGAAATGGGACACATAGTGTTGCTCAGCAGGGGTTTGGGGAACCGTTGGAATGGGGTGAATCACCCAGGTCCTATTTAGTTCAAGATCGTTGTTTCAATCACACTACTGTCATTTAATCCAATGAGGATTTAAATTTCATTGGCGGGGGGGGGGGGAGTGCAAATTCCTGTATGTGTGGGTGCAAAATATTTGGAAGAGGGTGATCGTAACCTCCCCCAAAAATCCATTGCATTGTCATAAATTTAAACATACTCAGTCAGTTCACCTGCCTAAACTTTAAGTTTCTTCAGCCGTCACAGCTGCATAAAATCTCGTTTTGTCCAATGAATCTGATCACTTGCCAAACTTATTTTGTGCCTTCGGAATTTGAAATGGATATTGAAATTTGTTGAATTAACAATTTATCCGACGTTATTTGCATCTAGGACCCACACACTGAAATGTTGAATGTTATAACAATTTCATACAGTACTCTGATAATTCTGCACATAGGTTTCCCAGCCAAAAAGTGTGCCTGAGGCTGCTAGTAAACAAATCACGACACCTCATTTAGGAAAACAAACTACAACATTGAATTTGATATCCGTGAAATACAAAACGAGAATGAGGATTTCCACAGTGAAGGCGAAGTGGACAGTATCACAGTAATTATAAGAAATATAGAAAACAACGACTATCTTTATGAAAACTACGATAATTATATTAAATTAAGCATAGTTTTTCATCCCATGATAATTTTTTCTGGGAAATAAGGATATTTAATTTCTGCCATGCATATTAGTTATTTTATGCATACTAGTTATTTTATGCATAATTTGCAATTTATCTGGGGTGATGCATGGTCATTTTCTTGTAAAATATTATACTTAGACAAATTTTTCCTTCCAATAACCACCCCTAAAAGCTACCCTTCTAAACACTATAAGCACTTCAGAAAGGCTGTCGCTTTTGCTTTTAGGAAGTTAGAGCTATGACGGCCCTGCCGTTTCAGGACGGGGTCATTTTCAGGACTTTCGTCCCGGATTCAGGTTTTTGCACATATCCCATGTTGTTCGCCATGGTCATTTTAGCCTAAAACAGTTGAGATTACCTGTGGGCTGTGGTAAATGAAACGCATACAAACATCTATACATGTCCTGGACTACTTGAAAAAAAATAAACAATTCGATATTATTCAGGTGTCCCATGTCCGAAATAGAATGCAATGAAGATGAGGACAGCGATAGGTTAAGTACGTTTTCGGATCCTGAGGAAAAGGCTATCCATATTATTGATGTGAGGAAAACGTTTCCTACAGATCTTGCTCTTTTTCAATTTGAAGATATACATTCAAACACTGACTTGAGAAAAGAATTGTGCCGATTAGGTCCTTGCCAGCTGCCTATATTGAAGATGATCTGGAAAACGGTTTTCAAATTACTGAGGAGACAAAGCGGTCTTTTTATGAAGCCTGGTATTTTCAGTCTCAGACAAGTCAAAAATTAGCCTTAAAAGAGATTGGTTAGTTCATTCTCGAAGATCAGACCGTATGTTCTGCTTTTGGTGTACCCTGTTTGTTCCTGAAGGAGCTCACTTTAGTGAAGCTAACTGGACAAAGATTGGCGTCAACAACTGGAAAAAAGGAGTAGAGAATATCAGACACCATGAAAATACTGTTCACAAGACCGCTGCATTCCAGTACTCGTGTTTCATATCAGGAAATGACATCGAGCATTCTCTGAGTGAAAGTGCCAAACTGGCCGAAAAGGAAAGAAGAGAACAAGTTGAAAAGAACAGAAAAGTAATTAATTAAAAGTAATCAGATTACGAGAGATGATATAACAAATGAAATTAAGGAAGCTGGTATCTTTTCGACTGATGCTGGATGAAACTTCTGATGTGTCAAAAGATGAGCAGCTCAGTTTCGTGTTCCGTTATGCTCTGTGGGGAGAAATTTTTGAAACATTTCTGACATTTAACATTTAAGAACGTCGCGTCTACAGCAAGGGAGATACTGTTTGGCACAGTCGACATAAAACTTAAAGAATTTGAACTGGAAATCAAAAATCTGCGAGGATTGGGTACAGACGGAGCAGCCAACATGACCGGAAAATACCAAGGATTGAAAAGTAGAATATTGCAGGCCAATCCCATTGTGAAAAGTGCCCACTGTGCCTGCCATGCCCTAAATTTGGTACACGTGCAAGCTTGCCAGAGCAGCATTCCAATAAAAGTGGGTTTTTTTTGCCACATTGGGAGAGCTTATATATAGAGGGAAGTCCTGAGCGTCACAACACATTTTTGACATCCAAAAAGAGCTGTATTTAAAACCACGGTCTATTAAGCGTCATGTAGAGACGAGGTAGGAAACACATCACAAAGTGATAGAAGATACCGTAGCAACATCAAGTATCCTGCTATTATTCGCATGCTTGAAGGCATTATCGCAAATGAGACGGATATACAAACTGTTGTTTCAAAGGCGAATTGATTACTTCTATTTTGCGAAACCGGTTTTAATTCATTGCGATGCTTGCTATTTTTGATAAAGTCTTATCATGCAGTTGACAAATATTTTGAGCAAAACATTACAAACCGACAACGTAGATCTAGCAGAGTGTTTCCAGTTGGTGGACTTCTGTATAACGAATTTAAAAGAATTAAGAAAAGAGCAAGAATTCGAAACATTTATTGACGAAGCCTCAAATATTGCTATCGAATGTGGTATTTCAGACGAATTCACAGAGAAAAGGCCGAGAAAGAAGAAGAGGTTCTTTGACGAACTGGCAAGTGATGAAGTAGCAGAAACTTCTAAAAAAACAATTTAAGCGCGATGTTTATTTTACAGCAATCGATGTAATTATTACTCAACTTAACGAGCGTTTCGACCAAAGTCGGCGAATTTTATTTGCTTTCACATGTCTTTCTCCTGACAATCGTCTCAATAGAAGTAAAAACGACAACGAGAGCTCACTCGATATTTTATTGGAAGAATACGGATCTGCAGGATTGACAGATGTAAGCACTAATGATGCCATCGCGGAGTACACGCTGTTCCAGACAAGGTTTAAAGAGCGACTTAAAGAGCGGTTTAAAGAGACAAAGGTATTAAAGTAGCGACTAAGAAGCGTGTTCAAGTTTTGAAAAAGACGCGAACTGCATGTATAAATGGAAAACAGAAGAAAGTGATTGCACCAGACCCAAGCATACTTTTAAATTTTCGTTTTCGTCAAATCTATACTGACAAGGTTTTCCGGCCCAAACCTTTATCGACTATACCAGATATTTCTTACAATCGCAGTGACCTACAACAGCGGGGCCAGAAAGATCGTTCTCGAAATAAAAATTAATTATGATTTGTCAAAGGTCAACCATGAATCAGAAACGTACATCAGACTTGGCAGTATTATCAACTGAACGTAGTAGGTCTCTAAACGTTGACCGTGCCATTGACCTATTTGGATAATAATAATAATAATCAGTGAAGAGCAGAAGAAAGAACCCTTTTGTCCAATTGTCTGATATGTTGTGTTTGTAAAATTCATTTTTGCCATTTCCGTGCTTGTCCATGTTTATTAAAAAAGACAAAAAAGTATATATGAAAAGTAAAAACAAACTTGTCGGAAATTCGCGAAGCTTTGCCCCCCCCCCCCTCCCCCCACCACCTCCTGAACTAAATTTCCGCCACTGACTGTCAGCAATTATCGATTATTACGGTATATAGTCTTTGTTCTCTGACAGACCAATCATTGCACAGTATTTATTCCATTTGTGTGCAGCAAGAAAGGCATTGATCCCAACTGAGGAACAATTGCCACAGCAAAAGTACACTCCATTGTCTTCTTCATCTTGCACCCCATTGGTCGCGATCTCTGGGTTAAAAAGTTGATATCCCGTTCCTTGGATGTCCAACAACATTAACTTTTGTTCGACGATTCATGAATGTAATGTACCAAACATTCAGCCTTTTTGAACATTTTCTTGAGATCATCAGCATCCTCTGCAAATGGAGTAATAATGCCATTGTTGTTGATGATCTTGGCAAAAGATCCTGGAACGAACTCCTTGATTGTTCCTGGTTTGGTCATTAATCTTTGTGTAATAGCAACGGTTGTACTTGAAACACTCTCCAAATTCAGCAGGCACTTTTGAGTTGAATTTGTTTGTCGCATGTCTTGCGACAGCATGTATTTGCACTTGCTTCCTGCAGAAGCCTTATTGTGGCATCCAATGTCTTAGTTATTGATACAAGAGCTTTTGCATCATAGTACTTTAAGCCCGCCGCACACGAGAGCAACTTGCTGAGCTAACCGCCTGGCGGATTTGACCTCTCGAGGCCTTGAGGAAAATATCTATCGTGTTTGATGTTTGTGATGTTACTCTGAGTGTATATCCACACCGGGCGGGCATGAAAAATATTAGTTGTTAGTTAGTTAGTTAGAGTCTTTATTTCAAGAAGGTAGTACGTAATAGTACAAAAGTACCAATAAACTTATAAACTTGTAGCCCTCAATTTCAATAATACAACAATTTCTAAAATATGAGTACACATATTAAACTATCGATACAGTATATATCTATATTTACAAATTTACTTCAAAAATTATGGTTCGGTATATATGAATACAATTACAAATGGCTAAGAGATAGTTGGTGTGCATGTAAAATTTCTACATATTTATTCTTAAAAATATGGACATTCAAATGCCGTCTTAAGTTTAGTGGTAGACTGTTCCAAAGTTTAATTGTGGTTACACTAAAAGTTCTACCACCTTCAGTTTCCCTTTTATACTTTGGACAGATGAAGTTAACTTCGGCGTATTTTTTATTTCTGCAATGTTGCTCACGATTTAATTTTAATGTTTCACGTAAATAAGGAGCAGTCTCGCCATTGATGCTCTTAAAGCAAATACAGCTTTATTTACTTTACTTTCTTCATAAAATGGGAGCCATTTCAACCGGTTAAAGAGGTGGATTGTCGATGACATGCAAATAGCGTGTCGAACCTACGACCTTTGGAATACTAGCCTAATGCTCTCCCAACTGCATGAGCTACGCGGTCAGGACGGTTCGAGTAAGTGATATTTCGGAACCGAATCTAGTTCCTTCGATACCAATGTACTCTAGTAATATGATTTTTTCTGTGTTGGTGTTGTGTATACTCAGGTGAAGAAGATGATGTTTGTGATGTTACTCTGAGTGTATATCCACACCGGGCGAGCTTGAAAAATTTGAATTTGAATTTATTGAAATTTTCAAATGGCAGGTTGCTATCAAATGATTGGCAATCTGAAAAACTTGAAATTACATAATACTATATGATTAAAAATACGTAATTTGGAATACAACTATTTAAAAAATATGCTCGATGATAATACTTTACTATATACTATACTATCTTCACGCATGTAAGTTTACTAACTACCCAGAGAATCCCACTTTGCAACACAGTACGGAATAAAACTATTTCTAAAACGTTCAGTCCTACATTTAAATAGAGGATATTTCCTTGGATTCCTTAAACTATACTTATGTGTAATAGGACTTGGGAGAAGATTGTTTAGTTTATTGTCATCTTTTAAAATAGATTGATACAAGGACAGACACTGAATTTCTCTTCGTTCTTGAAGTGTTTTCAGTTTTGCTTTATCAAGGGCTTCAGCGTATGAATGGTGTGGGAACACAATCTTTAAAGCTCGTTTTTGGATGTGTTCGATTTGATCTGATAACATCAATGGCAGAGAAGAGTGCCAAACTTGACATGCATACTCAAGCACTGGACGAATGAATGAACAGAAGATGGAAATTAGATTCTTTACTGGAACACCATGGCGTTTCAGGATTCGTAGGGCATATAGTCGCTTGCTTGCTTTAGCAGATATGTTTGAAACGTGAATGTTCCAGGACAGATCACTGCTTAGAGTGATACCCAGGAGTTTGAAACTATCAACAACTTCAAGCGGACTACCGTTTATTGTCAGATGATCAAATTCAGGTTCAGATTGTAAAAAGGATACACGAAATTCTTTGGTTTTCTTGGCATTCAACCGCATATTGTTAGTATTGCTCCAATCACAGATTGTACTAATATCTGGTTGAAGGATAGAATTACAAGCTGGCCGGGAAACCACTTCATATGTACTGCAATCATCCACGTACTTATACAATGGGTGTGTGGTGGTGGTAGTGGTGAGGTCGTTGATCATCACTAGGAAAAACAGGGGACCAAGGATAGTTCCTTGAGGTACGCCGGCCTTAATCTGTTTCCAATTAGATCTTATTTCTCCAAGTTTT